TATGAGTCATATTTTACTGCTGTTTTGTATATTTTGTATGCTTTGCATCACCATCGCAAAATTCTTGATATTTATCTTTGAACTTGTGTTTTAGAGTTTAAGTCAAGATACAAGGGCTGCATGTTGAGCAGGGATGTTAACTATCCAGTATTTGCATTCTTGTTGCAAGGAGACATTTCCAGGGACCTTGGCATGAGGGAGTTCAGTGAGGCCACGCAGGAGTGTAAGGAAGCCGTACCTGTGTGACTGACGGCTTGCTGGTCGCCCAGGGAGCCCGGTGCTTTTCCTGCTAGCAGAGCTTGCCAGTAACAGAAAGCAAGGCGGGTGGTTGGCTGTAGGCACTGTCAAGGAGCCCTATCGTATTCTACTCGCGTAGTTACCAATGACTTACACGGACAATGATGACTCAGAAGGAAAGGAACAGTAGGACACCAACTTTCCTGTCCTTTCAATCCTTCCTTATTGCCTCAGTGAGATGAAAGGTGAAAGTGTGGGCAGAAGTCAGCAGTCAAGAGGAAAATAAAACACAGTCTGTTCATGCAGCATTTCCATTGTCCTCGGTAGGAATGAAATATCTGTGCAAGCACAGCCGCACAGTACAAGTTGTACATTCCCGTGATTCCATGTCTGGAGTTAAGTACTTTTACATGGCATTTAAAACTGCATTGCACAATATAGACTAATGATAGAATTCGTTGCTAATTTTTATTATTTATACTAGTTTACGTAACAAATAAACCACCATGACAATCAGAGGAGAACACAGAAGAAAGGCAAAGCTTTTTTTAGTTTAGAACCTCTTACATGACACTTATTCTGCTTTTTAAAACATAATGGGTCCACATTTCATTTTGTCACTGCCATTGCAAGTTATGTGGCCAGCCCTGCTCACAGCAATCCCTTGAGGCCACCTCTCTGAGCCTCTCTGCCGGCCTGGTTTCTCTGACAGCTGGGCTTTGCGGGCTGCAGGTGGTGTTAACAAGAAGGGTGGGAGCAGGAGGAGAACTGTTGGAGGTATTTTTCAGCAGGAGTCTGACTACCCCGGGCACTTAAAGAGTCCTTTGAGCCCACCATAACCTGTGAACAGCATATCATAGCTGAGAAAACGCCAGGATTGCTCACATCGCTCGCTTGCCAGCAGACCAAATCCCGGCCCGGTGCAGATGTCAGGGCTGAAGGCCATTCAGCCGGAGGGGGAGAGAAGACGCATTTGCGTGGGCACACCCTAAACTCCAGGCCTTAGGCCAGCCCAGTGCCTGTTAGAAACGGCAGGAGCGGAGCAGGGTTGTCTTTTTCTTCTCGGATCAAATCAGACAAATCGTCTTTTTGGGCTTACCAGGCAATAAGTGGATAACTGCCACGGGATGTCAGTGAATTACACTGGCTCCTGTCATCAGCTTTGTGCTGCTCTTGTCACTTTATCGCAAAGAGGACAGCGGTGGAGCTGATAAACACAAAGGGTGGGGACCGTAGGGGGTGGCTGTGTCAGGACAAGAAAAATGCATGTCGCAGAGAATTTGATTTAGGACAGTAAAAACCACAGTGATGCTTTTCTTGATTGCCTGTTTAAGGGCATTTGGATACCCAAAAGGCATGCTCCGGTGAGCCACAACTACCCAGCTCCCACCAATTTAGCCCCCCATCTCTCATCCACCCTTCCCATGCTCATTGTGAATGAAGGTGGCTAGCCTCTCGGGACACTGGATTCTGAGGGACCCCTGGGCCCTCCATCTCCTGCTGCTCATGGCCACTTTTTGCCAGGGTTGCATCCAAGCAGAAGCTGAAGAACTCCTTGGGAGCAAACATCGCCTTCCTAGCAGGAAAACAAGGATTTGGAAGTCTTTTTATTTTGTCAAAACACCCAGCAATGGCTCAAAAGCTCCCATTAAATTGCATTTTGTAAACTGCTGGGTAAATGTTCCTGTCTCAGAGACCTCGACTGACAGGTAAGTCTCCCTTCCAGCCGTGAAGGAAGAAGGAGTCTTGGCTTTCTCTGCCAGGATTTGAGTGTGTCCATCTGTCTTGGAGCCTGCGAGGGTGAAATCCAGAAATCTGAAAGTCAGGACAAAAGTAGATTTCCTATCTCCAACATAAACTGTATCATCATAGTGTAAGAATTTTTGCTATGACCAAAGGGAGAGAAATGTCTAATTTTTGACTGACCTTCCCCTCAAGGACCAGGGTTGGATGACAGTTTGGAATCTCTTTTGCTTATCTATAAAAAGAGGGGCAAGAGATCCCCCTGTTTGGGTTCTTGCACCCTTACACTGGTGAGGGCCCTTCGCTCATGCAAAGTGGCCAGACGTGGCGACTGGGAAATGACTCATGTCCCACTGCTCTTTCGCAGGTCACGTTTGCTGGACTTTTCCTGGGCCACAAAACCTACTTTGTAACAAAGGACCCCACCCTTTACGTTGAGAAGGAACAATCATTTTATTGTCCCCAAGCCCTGGGACCAGTAACATTTTTGAGGAGAAAAAGAAAGTTCCCCGAGAAGAGGGCAAGGACTCCAAAATAGCCGTGTGGGGAATTCTTGCTGGAGGTGACATAAAACCTTGCATCTTTTCCACCGACAAAGTAGCTGCTGTTTGCTCTGGGCTGTCAGGAAATCAACTGTGTGTCACATGAGACGTAAAACCGATCCATCCGCTGGGATCCTTTTCCTTGCCTTCTTTTGTCACCGGTATGACATGACGTTTGTGGCTGTACGCCTGTTGGTTTACAATTTGTCGGGAGAGAAATGGAGCATTATGTCCCCCAAAAAGGAAACAGGAAAGGAAAAGGAGCTCTACCCCCTGCTGCTGCTGGTAATAAGAGTCCCCTAGAGGCACCGTGCGTGGGTGCGTGCAAGCTGGGAGGAAGCAGAGAAAGCCTTCCGTGTTCTGGGGAAAGGAAAAACAGCTGGGGAGAAGATGCAACTGCCCTTTCAGAATGAGGAAAACAGCTGCCTGAAACCAGTGGCCCCCCCCCGCCTTCACCGATGTCCTTTCTTCATGTCCAGGGGTCCAATCTGGAGCAGTCACCGCTGAGCTATGTTATACTTTTTGTTTTTAAATCCTAAATGATGAGACATTTCAGTTTTCTGTCTCAATTGTATGTGTGTGTAGGAATATTTATGAACAACAAGAACAGCAACTGCAAACTGCTGTTTTAATCTGCCCTGGCCCAGAAGTCTTTCTGGCAGGTAGACGAGTATTTCTGCCCAGACGCTTCACGCCGAGGCAGGGAAGACTCAGCTCCCGTTTGACATTGCCGTGGTTTGCATGGCTAACCAGACAGCGTGCACTTCTACCGAGTGTAGTGTTATTAGGAAGGATGGGTAACTAGTTTTGTTGAGCCTAAGAATGACCCAATAGGACTAGAGTGTTTGATGACCGACGACAAACCGTTTAGGGACGATGTAAACCTACAGGGAATCGTGTCCATCTGTTCCTCTTCCGGGAACCTTGCACCACGCGCTCATCTCCTCTTGCACGCTCTTCCACCGTGACCTCTGCAAGCCCACCAACCCCTTCCACGGCCCCTCCCCCGCTGCCCACCCTTCCTTCGTCTGCACCAACACGGAGCTTGTCATGGCCTTGCTGCTGACGTGGGCGGGCCGGTGCCCAGGCTGGAAAGGGCTTTTCCTTTGACCCGGTGAACCCGAGGGGCAACGCCTGTGTCAGCCAGTGGGTGGGGCAGCTTTGAGTCATGCTGAGAGGGAAAGATGGGGGTTGGGCTGGAGAAGGGACACTCAGTTTCTAAGAATGTGGCCTTGAGGCGGAGCTGAGTCATGTGTGTCTTTGTGTGTGTGTGTGTTTGTGCTGTTAATTAAAGGACAAGAAAAACCAAGCCAGGGCTTCGCTGGGTGGGTTCCCATGCAAAACTCCCACGCTTCTAACTCTAAGAGCAGCTGGGAGGAAGGGGCTTCCTCGGACCCCCAGCTTTCCAACTCCAGCAACTTTTTTGGACCCAGCAAACTCCAAGGCCACCCAATGTGAGAGTCATCTCTCGTTGTCTTGTTTTAAAAATGTCTCTAAGCTCAAGCAGAGTTAACATTTTAAAGAAGTGACATTGTGGATTCCCACTAAAAGGGAAGGACTCCCCAAACCCTGATGTGTAGACCCGACTGCAGGCACAAGGAGAAAGAGAAATGCGCGACTTCCCCCCAAGTCTTTCCTTGATTTACCCTGAGAAGCGGTCTGCATAGTGGTTAGGGCCATGGACTCTGGGGCTGGACTGCTTGGGTCTGCATCGCGGCTCTGACAGTGGCATGTTCTGCAGCCCTGACAAACCACATAATCTCCCAGTGCCTCAAGTTTCATATCTGAAAAATAGGGTAGTAACTTATCTGCTGTATTGGGTGGTCAGGAGGATGCAATGGATAATGCACACGGAGCACTTAAACTAGCTCCTGGTTATTGTAAACACTCTTTTTAAGTATCAACTCTCACATTCCGCTACCCTGACAGGGAGGGCCAGCCTGTGGGTCTGTGACCTGGGCGGTTGCCTGGGACCCCCTACCCCTGCTCAGAAGGGCCTTCACTTGGTTTAATGCTTTGCAGTCACCATCGCAAAATTCTTGATAGTTTTATCTTTGAACTTGTGTTTTAGAAGTGAAGTCAATGATACAAGGGGGCGTGCATGTGAGCAGAGATGTGTAGGCACTATTCCCATATTGCATTCTTGTTGCCAAAGGAGCACATTCCAGGGGACCCGTGGCATGAGGGAGTTCAGTGAGGGCCAACGCGAGTGTAAGAGAAGCCCGTTACCTGTGTGACTGACGGCTGCTGGTCGCCCAGGGAGCCCGTGCTTTTCCTGCTAGCAGAGCTTGCCAGTAAACAAGAAAGAAGGCGGTGGTGCTGTAGGCACAGTCAAGGAGCCCTGTCGTATTCTTACTCGTGTTAGTTACCAGTGACTTACACAGACAATGATGACCTAGAAGGAAAGGAAAACAGTAGGACACCCATACTTTCCTGTCCTTTCGATCCTTCCTTATGCCTCAGTGAGATGAAGGTAGAAAGTGTGGGCAGAAGTCAGGCAGTCAAGAAGCGAAATAAACACAGTCTGTTTCATGCAGCATTTCCATTGTCCTCGTAGGAATGAAATATCTGTGCAAGCACCAGCCGCAAGGTACAAGTTGTACCATTCCCGTGATTCCATGTCTGAGTTAAGTACTTTTACATGGGCATTTAAAACTGGCATTGCACAATATAAAGACTAATGATAGAATTCGTGCTAATTATTTATTTATTTATACTTAGTATTACGTAACAAATAAAAACCACCATGACAAGTCAGAGAGAGAACACAGAAGAAAGGCAAAAGCTTTTTTTAGGTTTAGAACCTCTAATGACACTTATTCCTGCTTTTTAAAAATAATGGGTCCCACATTTTCATTTTGCACTGGGCCTTGCAAGTTATGTGGCCAGCCCTGCTCACAGGCAAACTCCCTTGAGGCCACCTCTCTGAGCCTCTCCTGCAGCCTGGTTTCTCTGACAGCTGGGGCTTTGCGGGCTGCAGGGGTGGTGTTTAACAAGAAGGGGTGGGGAGGCAGAAGGAGAACTGTTGAGGTATTTTTCAGCAGGAGTCTGACTACCCCGGGGCACTTAAGAGTCCTTTGAGGCCCCACCATAACCTGTGAACAGCACTATCACTAGCTGAGAAAACGCCAGGATTGCTCACTCGCTCGCTCGCCAGCAGCCCAAATCCCAGGCCCGTGGTTGCAGGATGTCAGGGCTGAAGGACATTCCAGCCGGAGGGGGAGAGGAAGGACGCATTGTGCAGGTGGGCATCACCCCTAAAACTCAGGCCTGAGGACCAGCCCAGTGCCTGGTTTAGAACGGCAGGAGCGGAGCAGGGTTGTCATTTTTCTTCTCGGGATCAAAATCAGACAAATCTCCTATTTGGCTTACCAGGCAATAAGTGGATAACGCCAGGGACTGTCAGTGCAAATTACAGCCCTGGCCTCCTGTCATCAGCTTTGTGCTGCTTCTTGTCACTTTAATGCAAAGAGACAGCGTGGAGCTGATAACAAGCCAGAAGGGTGGGAGACCGGAGGGGGTGGCTGTGTCAGGGACAAGAAAAATGCATGTCGCAGAGAATGATTTAGGACAGTAAAAACCCACAGTGATGCTTTTTCTCGATTGCCTGTTTAAGGGCATTGGATACCAAGGCAATGCCTCCCGGTGAGCCACAAAACTACCCAGCTCCCACCCATTAGCCCCCCCCCATCCATCTATCCACCCTCCCATGCTCATCTGTGAATGAAGGGTGGGCTAGGCCTCTCGGGACACTGGGATTCTGAGGGACCCCTGGGCCCTCCATCTCCTGCTCTGCTCATGGCCACTTTGCCAGGGTTGCATCCAAGCAGAAGCTGAAGAACTCTTGGGAGCAAACATCGCTCTTCCTAGCAGAAAACAAGGAATTTGGGGAGTCTTTTTATTTTGTCAAAAACAGCCCAGCAACTGCTCAAAAGCTCCATTAAATTGCATTTTGTAAACTGCTGGGTAAATGTTCCTGTCTCAGAGACCCCTCGACTGACAGATAAGATCTCCCTTCCAGCCGCCTGAAGAAAGAAGGAGTCTTGCTTTTTTGCGTGCCAGGATTTGAGTGTGTCCATCTGTCTTGGAGCCTGCGAGGGTCAGCTTACAAAAATATGCAGCCTCACTTTATCTTCCACCCACACTGCACATGTGAGGCACTGGGACAATCAAGACAACAGGAATCCGGGTCTTTTTGTAGCTGTGCTGGCAAATTAGTATCTGAGAATTTGGAAAAGGGACCAAGAGGGTAACTGCATGGGGAACACGCCTTGTATGTCACTCAGGCTCCCTCTGCGACGTCGTTCCCTCTAGTGGCAGGTGCCCTATCTGCTGCGGGATGCCCTCCACTTTCAGACTTGGGTGAAACACCGTGGGGCAGGAGATCTGGCTTCCTGGGCAGTGATCAGGGGCTGGATAATGCAAGGGCGGTAACCCCACGGCGTGAACATTAACCTGGGAGACAGGGGACAGGTGGCAGCTGGGCAGATAAACTCCCCTGCCTTACTTTCTCTTGTGGATGCCTCTGGGTCATTAATCCTTCCTGCAGCCTTTCCAGAGAAGTCCCCATGCTAAGTGAACAAGCAACCTGGTGTCTCACCCCTGCTCACAGTGAAACAGGATGCATTGCATTACTCCACACGACTTCTTCTCTTGCCTCACTTCCTCGCCCTGCCCCACTTCTATTGCCCTGGTCTGGCACCTTCTAAACACATGATTAGAACCCCAGTCCATGCTCAGGTCCTGCTTTCTGGAGGACCTAGACCGAGGCAGTAAATACTGTTTGCTGAGCACTCACTAAGTGCCCACAGGTGCTTGCGATACATTCGAACTCATTCTAGAACTTGGAAAACTCATTCAGAAGAGCAAGAAATGTCTCCCAAGGGCACCTAGGAAATCAGCGACAGAGAAGGAGTGGAATTGTTGAAACTGGACTAAAAAATGGCTGGTGACAACAAAAAAGAAAAGAGTAGAGCAGAGTGGACATGGAGCGTCATCAGGTCTTTGGGGGCCAAATGAAGAAAGAGGAGCTTCTGTATTCCTTGAGACTTTAATATAGATCCCAGGCCCCCAGCTTGGTGCCCAAGTTAGGAAAGCTTTCCATTTTGGGGATTTAACTTAACAGTATTTTTGTGTTTTCTTCCTAGCAGAAGCCATCAGAGTGAGGAAGAGAGAGCCTTCAGTACCAGTATGTTAGTTATCTATTGCTGCCTGGCAAATTGTTCCATGCTTAGTGGCTTCAAACAACAGCAGTCAACGATTATCTCTCATAGTGTCTGTGGGTCAGGAATTCAGGGGCAGTTTGGCTGGGTAGTTGTGGCTCAGGTCTCTCCTGAGGTTAAGGTCAGATGTTGGCTGGGCTGCCGTCAACTGAAGGCTTGACTGGAGCTGGGGGATCCAACTGCAAGGTGGCTCACTCACACACTGTGGACAGGACACCTTCCTTACTTTCTTTGAGGGCTCTCCCCGGGGTGGCTTGAGTGTTTCCATGCTATGGCGGCTGGCAAGCAATCCAGGAGACCAAAGCAGAAGCCACAGTGCTCTTTATGCCTTGCTTTCAGAAGTCACTCGCTGTTTTCTCTGTCTCACTCTATGGGTCACAGAGAAAGCCCTGATTTGATGCAGGAAGAGCCCATACAAGGGCATGGCTGTCAGGAGCTGAGAATCCTGCAGGGAGGAGGAGGAGCATTTTTGGAGACAGGACCACAACCAGCATCCTGGAACCTGAGAGCTGGGAGAGTTCTTAGAGGTTGTCTGTTTCAACATCCTTATTCAGTAACTGAGAAGCCCAAAGGTCAGAGAGGTTAAGCAACTTGCTGCAGGTTGCTCAGTGGATCATCTGTTCACACTGAACTCAGGACTCAACAGTGCCTGCAGGGAGCACATTTTATGAGGCCATATGAGCATTGGAGCCCGTGGTCACCAGCGTCACTATGCTGATGAAGATGCAAGTCTGGGGGGTGCATTAAACAAGAGCCACCAAAAGAATGCAAAGCTGATTATAGGAGTTCACATGTTCCTTTATGCAAAATGTGCTTATTGAGTGCTTACTACACACTTGGCACTGTGCTGGGGTAAGCAAAAACACGCTCCTGCTCATAGACCTTTCAGTGGAGTGGGGAAGGCAGACACGAGTTATGCCGTCCCAAGGTAATGAAACTACTACAGCTGTGACAAGTGCTTTGAAGAGGAGGTTGAAGCATGGTGAGAGGACAGAATATCAGGTTTGTGCCAGCCAGTGAGGCTTCTCCAAGGAAGTGACGATTCAATTACCACTGGACAGCCTGAAAATGAGTTCCAGTATCAACAAGATAATGATTTTTGTTCAAGATTTATTTGTTTGTTTTAGATATTGTATTTTCCACCTCCAAAAATTCCATTTGGGTTTTCTTTTGAATCTTCTATTTCACTCCTAATAGAGTTCATGTTTTCCTTGAATATCCTTGAATGTATGTATGAGACTTACAAATAGGTATTTTAATGTCCTTGTCTGCTAGTTCCATCATCTCTGCCATTTCTAGGCCTTTTTCTGTTTTGTTTTTTCTTCTGGTTATGAGTCATATTTTACTGCTGTTTTGTATATTTTGTAATTTTCTGTTGGATACCAGATAATGGGAATTTGACAGCCTTGGGTGTTGGATTTTGTTTTATTCCTTGAAAGAGCGCTGGACTTTGTTCTGACGCGGCGACTTGGAAACAGTTTGAGTTTTCCAGGGATTACTGTTAAACTTTGTTAAGGTAGGTCCAGAAAAACTTTTAACCTGGGTCTAATTTAGCCTTATTCTTAAGGCAATACCCTTCTCAAGATGCCGCTAATATATGGCAAGGTCTTTTTACTTTGGCTGGTGAGAATACCAGCTATTTCCGGCCCCGTAAGGACCCCAGAAATTGTTCTGCCTGCTCCTTTCAGGTGATTCTTTCCTCTGCCTTGAAGAGTTTCTCCACAGGCACACACTGATCAGAGATCAAAGACTTGAGGTTCGTACCTGACAATCTCTGGAGTTTTCTCTTTGTGAGTAGAACTCTCTCCTCTCGGGCACTGTGCCGTGCGAATTGGAGCTGCTTTGACTTCCCGGAACTCTGAACTCTGTCTCCTCAATCCCACCACCGGGCTTCATTTGGGTTCTCTTGAGGCAATGAGCTGGTGTCATTAAAGGGCAACTCTTTTTTTCCCCCTCACTCGGGGTTCACAATCTTGCCTTGACTGTTAAACAATGTTGAAAATCGTTTCACGTACTTTGGTTTTCTTGTTGTTTAAGGCAGGGGTATAAATCTAGCCCCTGTTGCTGCATTATGCCCTATTTTTTCTTTAAGTTTTAAAAACAGCTTTATTGAGGTATAAGTGATAGAACTGCACCCATGTAAAGTAAGCAATTGACAAGTTTTGACATATGTCTGTACTCATGAAACCATCACCAAATTCAAGAGAATGAACATACCTGTTACCCCAAAAACATCTTAATGCCCCTTTGTAATTCCTCTTCCTGGCTCCCCAGACCCCTCCTTTGGAGGCAATCACTGATCTGCTTTTAGTCACAGTAGGTTAGTTTGCATTTTCTAAAGTTTTATATAAATGGAATCATACAATATTACTCCTTTGTGTCTGGCTTTTCTCACCCAGCATAATTACTTTAATTTTTCCATGTTGTGTTTTGTGCCAGTCCTTTCTCCTTTTTCGTTGCTGAGTAGTATTCCATCGCATGCATATACCTCAATTTTTTTAGTTTTGTTTATGCCGTATTTATTTATTTGTTCCTGATGGACATTTGGATTGTTTTCAGTTAGGGGCTATTACAAATAAAGCTGCTATATATATTCATGTAAAAGTTTTTACATAGACATATGCTTTATTTTTCTTGGGTAAATACCTAGGAATGGAATGGCTATACCATATGGTAGGTAGATATGTGTAACTTTTAACAAAAGCTGCCAAACTTTTCTAATGGCATTTGTTTTAAAACTAGTTTTTATTTGTTTGTTTTTAGATCCATGTGGTGATGTGGTAGAAATCTGTGAGATATTTGGATGTAAAAGTTCACAGCATCTTTAATTCTGAAGCAATACCGTGCTATGCAACTACGGCCGGATGAATGCAATGCCAGCCCCCACCCTCTTGGAAGGCAGACTTCTACCACAAGATGGGAAAATGAAAGGGGAGAATCGGAGAGTTTCCCAGTCTGCCTGACAGTGGTGGAAAAAACTCAGGACCCTTGGACTTTTTGCTTTGAGGCATTTGAATGGAAATAAAAGTGAATTGATTCTTTTTGGATAGTTCCTTCTTTTCTTGTGATTTTCTGAGAATATGAAATGTTGGAAAACTAAGATCAGAGCTGTTTTTTGAAGTTTTGATCTGTTTCCTTGATGTTTTGACTTTGAAGCTCCTATCTATGAATAAATTCAGCCTTTGTTTCACCTTTCCCTGCCCAACACTGCCAGTAAGTTAGAAGGAAATACCCAGTAGGGATAAGTAGCTTCTCTTTGATCCACACACAAATCAGGCATGAAGCTCCTCTTAGCCAGTGGAGGAGTGGACTCAGCAATGCCCCAGCTCTGAACCACCTACCGTATTTCATAGAATAGGCAGCGGCAGCACAACCTATTTTTAACAGCCTCTGTCCCCGTCTGAAATGCCGTAGCACGGACAGATTCTCCTAAAGGCGTTTGCTTGTGACGGCCGTGCCCGCCCGGCGGCATTCCCACACTCCGTGAGGGTCTCCCGCAGCGCGAGATTCCGCACTCGGCTGTGCTGTCCTGCACGTGCGGGACCCTCGGGGCGCAGGACGCGGGGAGGGAGCGGGCAGGACGGCCCGGAGCTGCTCCTCCTTCCTCAGCCTCCCTGTCGCCCAGCACAGCGCCCCCTGGCGCTCAGGCGTGCGGGGGACGCGGGTCTCCGTGCTCGGCGGCCGCGGAGGCAGCGGCGGCTTCTCCGGAGGCCGCGGTCACTGCTCCCTCGGAAACCGCCCGAGACCCGCGAGACCCGCGGCTGCGGCCCGTTCACGCGCGGCTTGAGCGCATGCGCAGCAGGACGCCCGCCCGGTCCCGAGCCACCTGCGGCGGAAGTGGCCGTGGCCCGGTCGCTGCCCCTCAGCTCGGCCCTCTGGGAATCTCCAGCTGCGCGGCTTGGGCTGCAGCCAGAACGCGTCCCTGCCGACCAGTCTTAGTCCCCGCCCTTGGTGTCGGGCTTCGTTCTTACATGGAGCTTGCTTTCTGTTTTGTCACGTGGACTTCCACCTCCCGCCCTCTGTCCCAGCCGCCACCTGGGCAGTTCCCCTGCAGGGAGCCCGGGCAGGCCCTGCCGGTCGCCACTGCTGCTGGCTGTGCCCGTGCCTCGTGGCAGAGCCGCTCACCGGCTGCGGCCGCGCACCTGGGCGCCCGGTGGACGCCCGGTGGCCACAGCCAAACCGGCCGGTGGACACAGAGAGTGAGACACGGGCCGGCCGGAAGTGACGTGACAGCTGATGGCTGCACTGAGGAGAGCAGGGCCAGGCCCACCCCTGCCAGGCACCCGAGTTCCCGGCAGGTGACAGGTGGAGGCCCCTGGGCATTTCCTGTCTGGCTTCCACCTGGTCAGGGATGCGAGTCCTGCAGGGAAACAAACACGCAATGGGCAGTGTTGCCTGCAGACCCCTGGTCCTGTGGCTGAGGGACTGCGGTTGTCATGGCAGCGAGCAACATTTTCACTATAGTCTGTGGCCTTTCCCCTCCCCTGGGAATTGTTTGATGTGATTCTGGTCTTTCGCTCCAGCTCACGTCCTTGTCTTTCAGGGTGACTGCTGTCCCTTGCCTCTGACTGGGGAGACTTTCCTTGGTTTCCAGGGACAGGGTGACGCAGGGGAAAGCTGGATGGGGGAGGGGAGAGGAGTGAGAAGAGAGGAAGTGTGTGTGCACTGGGGAGATGGGGTGGGGACGGACTGTCACTGGAAGACTGGGGTGGGGACGACTGTCACTGGGAGACTGGGATGGGGACGGACTGCCACTGGGAGACTGGGGTGGGGACAGACTGTCACTGGGAGACTGGGTTGGGGACGGACCGTCACTGGGAGACTGGGTGGGGACGGACTGTCACTGGGAGACTGGGGTGGGGACGGACGTCACTGGGAGACTGGGGTGGGGACGGACTGTCACTGGGAGACTGGGTGAGGAGACTGTCACTGGGACTGGGGTGAGGACGAGCTGTCACTGGGAGACTGGGTGGGACGGACTGTCACTGGGAGACTGGCGTTGGGAAAGCTGCACTGACGGTGAGAGACGAGATGTGGGGACGACCTGCCACTGGGAGACTGGGGGTGGGACGGACCGTCACTGGGAACTGGGGTCGGGGAGGACCGTCAACTGGGAGACTGGGGACGGACTGTCACTGGGAGACTGGGTTTATTTCGGACAGATGCTAGTTACCATAACATGGAGGACTGGAGTAAGACAGTGCCACTAAAGAAATTCCTCCATGTGAGCAACAGGAACTCACTGGGTAGCAGTTAACTGTGTGGGGAGGCTAGATGGCGGCAACATCGGATCTTAGTGTTTAGTTCTACAGAGAAACTGGAGGTAGGTCGTGGGTGATCACTGACAGAACCGTTCATCTG